CCCTAACACTAATTTATCCAAAAAAAATCTTAGAATTATATTTATTTTGCGACAAAGGAAGTACGTTTTCTTCTCTGTTATATGCCCAGTAAATATTTTCTTGGTTGTTTTTCAAAAGGGAAAATACTACACCCCACCTATCCACGTATAATGCAATCCTATTATCACCCCCATTGCGCGCGCTTTTCGTTTTCTCCTATTGTATATCGCCACCATTGCCCTTCCCCTACTCCTGCACGTCTCTTTTCTATTCTCTCTATTCGTTTTATTCCACTTGATTGTTTTTACCATGTGGTGTTGTTTGAAAAGGAGCACGACGAGTAAAGCTCTAAACAAAAAAAAAAGACACTATTTAGACGTCACGCAAGCATTTTAGGTCTAATGGCCACTTGTCCATGGTTGTTGGATCAAGATCCAACACTCTACGTACCAACTTTGTTTCCTACCTTTAAAGGAAATTTTGCCCTCAAGAATATGTGCTCTCATGTGATCCATCGTTGGATATGATTTGAGATTCATGAAGAGTATGACATTGATAGATATTCTCCGACATAGATCTAATTGTGTATCACATGAATGCACATACTCATAAAAGGCGTATTTTACTTTACCCTGGATCCCCTCACTCTTGATTGAACTTGCCCCTACTATCCTTACTTCCTTAGCGTTGTGCCTCCACTTGACCACTTATCGCTTGCCTAACACCAACAAGCCATACTTAACGAAACCAAGTGATCTCTCTACTCCTAAAACAATATTTTTAATTAAAATAGATTAGTCCTCTTTCAGCGTAACAACAATAATCGACTATTCCATCATGTTGACAAGCGTGCAGCTGCCTCTTGGAGGACCGCATTTTGTAGGATGGCATCAATTGAACCATTTATGAGGATAACATTTAATTATGTGAACCATTTTTTAGTGGCATCAATTGGAGTACTTGTTAGTGCTCGCCCCCACCCCCACACCTATACTATTAGTTTTTGAGTCTGTCTGTGTTGACACTTGGGTGTTTTACCCCAACTCCACACCTGAATTTTTCTGGCACTATTCATCTTCTACCTCCAGCAGCCCACGTGCACTGTTCATCTCCTACCTTCATCCGGTCGCTGTGCACTGTTCATCTTCTACCTTCAGTCGCCCGTCGCGCCGCCCGCGGCACTGTTTATCTTCTTCGTTGGCACAGATCATAGGAAACAATTTTTTCTATGAAAGCACAAGGACAAATCGCGGCTGTGTCGGCACAGATCACAAGCAACAAATCGCGGCGCAGCGGGCACGGCACGGCCGTGCGCGGGGGCGGCGGCAGAGGTCCGGCCTGGTGGCGGCGACGGAGGTCCGGTCCGGCCGGGGGCTGCGCGTGGCGCCGTCGCCTGGGCGCGAGGAGGCGCGGGCACCGGGAGGAGCTCGCCGGTCCCATCGCCAGTGAGAGAGAGAGAGAGCACGCGGAGGGGAGGAGTCGGTCGGAGCCTCATGTCAGAGACACGGAAAAAATCGTGTGTTTATATGTGCTAAAACACCCGTGTGGTGTTTAGCATTCCTGTAATTTTCTTTGTTATTGTTTGCTACGGACACCATCCTCAAAATTCAAAAAAGAGTACTGAAGTGAACTTAAGCGCTTCTTTAAAATAAAGGTTCAAAGAGGAACAAAATGCAAATTTCCTACCAGGCTAGCTTGGATCGGAGAGAGTTATGCACATGTGCCTGACTGACAGAAATGGCAAGAAATTTGAGGCGCGGAATATGTACGATGGATCTAACGGATAATAACTACTCACTGTCACTAGAAAAATAAAAACGCCATACATGCAATGCCTGGAACTATTTCCAATAAGCCATCGTTTGTTTGTTTGGGAATGATGCCTTAGAAGGATTCCACAAGGAATACTAGGTTAATTTATGTAGCCTTTGATGAGGTGGAATGAATCCTGGACAGGAATCCGGCTAAAGAACGAGCCCTAAATAAAATGCAAGACGATTGTTCATAAAACAAGCAGGAAAATAAAAAAGAAAAAAGTGGATCGGGGCGTCACCATCCATGTATTAAACCTGCTGGGCATCACCCTTTAATTGTTGTTTGTTAGTGTGAACAGATTTAGCTGTTGATGAGTCTGTTGCTTTCACATCTCGGCAAGCGTAGGCAGGTCCACAATCTAGGCGCGCCTTAGTTTCAGGAACCTAACTACGTCCTCAATGCTCAACCGCTGATGCAACCGGCCGGAGACCTACAGTCCGCTAGTCCCCTGCACAAAAGCCATGATCCCAGCACGGTACACGTAGCCCGGCGCTGCTCCCATGGACTGAGCGAGAGAACTTGCTGGTGAGTGATGAGTGATGATGCCAGTTATCCAGCGACCTCAACACTGCTGCAGTCTCCACTGCTAGCTGCTGGTAGCACGGTGGCTGATCCCACAACCTGTATACTCCATGTCGCAAGCACGTCGCACATAGGAGTAGAACAACGGATCCAGCGTCCACGTAGTGTAACCAGGCACCATATTATTATATGTACATGCATGAGAAATTGTCCTGGTCCCAAGTTCCTGCGGCGTCCCAGAGGGGTCCTCTGTCTGTCGTCGTCCCTCGTGCCAATGGACACGGTGGGTGACAGCAGCAGCCCGCGGATCGATCGCAATGCAAAGGTGTGGAGATCGAGTTGTCTACTAGCTGATTGGCTTCTGCCGCTGCTGTTGCCTGCCCCGTGGCAGTGTGCAGTGTGCAGTGTGCGTGCCATGTCAAAAGCTGAGGAGCGCCTGAAACTGCCTCGGTGCTTGCAGCGGCGGGGACTCGCTTGCCTGAAAAGGGATCCAAGCCCCAACCCGCACCGGGGTCATCGATCTCCTCGCTCCCTCCCTGGTCCTGCGCGCGACCAACACCACGCCGGGGCCTGGCCGCCTGTGGGCCTGCGCCTGCCCGACTACGACGTGAAAACCAGCCGTCGCACGGCCACGACGACGGAGAACGTGACGGCGAAACATACCCATTTCTTCCCAAGTCAAAGCGGTAGCTATCACCATTCATCGCTGCATCCTCGCGGAGTCGCGTTCACCACGTTTCAGGCTTCCAGCTGCATGCATCCATGGGTCAGCGCCGCGTACGTGTTTGTTTCTTGGCCGTTGGCGCGCGCCTAGCATGCGTGCGTGCACGCTGACTATTTTTCCTGGCGGGATGGATGGATCATGTAGGCATTGAAGGGACCGGTGCCGAGAGCAATGCACCGCCCGGCTCCGACCTAACGCGCCGCTGGCTGGCTGGCTGGTTGGCGATCGGCATTGATCCACGTATAGCCGCCGGCGTGACGACTCCGAATTCCAGCACGTGCTGCACTGCTGCCTACACTGCCACTGCTACTACAAACGGTGACGACCTGCTGGATCGAGCGCTCTACTGGGTAAGGTAGAAAGCAGAGCAGCCGCCTGCCGCCTTGATGAACGGCAGGCACGCCGGCGGGCACGGGGAGGGAGGGAGGGCTCCGACCACCACCACGTGCTTGGCTGCGCCGACTCTTCAGCCCCAGCCCGGTGCTCGTTAATGCTGCCGGAAAGCGCGTACCGGTCCTTCCCCGGCCGCCCCGCCCCCCTCTCGTCTAGTGTAGTAGACAGAGTACACGTTTTGCTGGGAGGAACATTTTTTTTTGAAACATTTGTTGGGGTGGGCCGGGCCGGGCTGGCGAGAGCCAAAGGCAAGCGGGATCGGCCGGGCGCATGTCCAGACAGAGACAGCGGCGGCGTGCGATCGACACGTATTGACGCGCATCGGCACGGGAGCGAGGCGGACAGGCGGCTTGCCCTGCCCTGCCCTGCCCCGCGCGGACGACGGGACACGGGACGGGACGGGACAGCCCACAGCCCGAGCCCGACCGAACCACGCCGTGTGGGCGTCTCCGCGGCAGAACGACGAGACGAGCAGTCGACCAAGCAGCAAGCAGCCAGCAGCCAGCAGAGCAGGCTCTCACGTCCACGACGCGACGGGACGCTTGCGGCCGGAGCGGACGCCCCCGTGTCGCACAGCAGCTGAGACGACAACGGATGGCCGGGCCAGGGAGGACCAGGGTCCAGCCGCAGCAGCGCGGCGGCGACGCCGTCAGCGTCAGAGATCAAGTCGATCGGGCCAGCGACGGGGGTTGTGTTGTTGTCCGCGGCCATGCGGCCTGGCCCGTGGCCGGCATCGTGGCCCTAGACTGCGCGGCTTTTGGTGGGCTTCACGTCTTGTTTTGCTTTCTGGCCCACCGGGTCCAATAACAGCAGAGCTGCCATTGCTGGCCCACACAGCAACACTGAACTTGTGCCGCGCCACATCACGCAACCAAGTTTTCTCAATTTTAGTGGAACGTTCCAGATTGAGATTCTTTATGGAAGTGTTTCTCCGATAAATCAGAATCAATTTACGGAATCTTTTGCGTAGCTGTCTGGATTCTTTGAATCAGGTGAAACTAAGGTCAAACTGTTTCTCTTTTTTTGCAGTACAAAAATAAGAATCAGTCCTGATTGTTTCTCTTTGAGAATCAGAAACATTCCACGTTGTCTAGCAGTGATTCTGATCATTTTGCAAAGAAATCCGAAATGTTTCATGGTGCCAAAGGCACCCTTATAAATCTCTACAAAGCAAGTGCTGAGCAAAGTTCTCTCCTTACAAAGAGAAGGCACCAGATGTCCAGATGGATCACGGTGAGCTCTAGTAATTGTTTGCAAGAACTATCTCGGGGCACCAGTCATGGTTGTGTGTGGCTTGAATGCTTGTTCCCCTTCCGGGGTCTGTAACCAGCTTGGTTGATCGCGATCAAGCTATCTGGACTGGTGATTGAATGAAACAAACAAAAGTGCATTGCTCGAAAAACAATAACAAATTGTTTAAAGACACTATCTAAAGTTCAGCTCCGTATAAAACATACCATCAGTCAGGACTGAGCAACCATCTTCAGATAACTGCAACTCTATCTAGGAGTACTTCTCATGAAAAAAACTTTAGTCAATTGTTTGTTGGTGTATATGTATGTATGACTACTCGTCATCAGATTCTTCCGAGGACTCAGAATCTTCATCCTCTTCGCCTGAATCTTCTGACTTTTGCTCACCATCATCTTCTTGCACGGCTTGATCATTGTCCGTTTTGGCCGCGTTTGCCTCCGCCGAAGCCTTGGCCTCTTCCCTTTTCCTCTTCAGCTCCTCGATCAGGTACTCAAGACTGGCATCCTCCTCGGAGCCGGCGTTCTTGGCTGTCATGAGGCACTCGGCGACGTCGGCCGGCGTGATGTCCACCTCCTTCAACAGCTCCTCGACGGCGCCGAACAGCTGGTGCGCGTCGATGCCGAGGTAGTTCTTGGCCAGGGTCCTGAACGCCTCGAAGCCGCAGTAGGACATCTCGATGTGCATGTCCATCCGGCCGCGCCGGATGAGCGCCGGGTCGACCCTGTCCACGTGGTTGGTCGTGAAAACGACGATCCGCTCGCCGCCGCAAGCCGACCACAGCCCGTCGATGAAGTTGAGCAGGCCGGAAGCCGGATAGCGTCACCTTGCTGTCATCCTCGTTCCTGCGGTACGATCGATTCTTCTTCTTGGACCTCCGGTCGCCCGTCAGGTCCAGGGAGCAGTCGATGTCCTCGATGACGATGACGGACATGCTGGTTGTCTGGATGAGGAGCTTGCGGAGGTCGTCGTTGTTGTTCACGATGGTGAGCTCCACGTTGTAGATGTCGTAGTTGAGGTGGTTGGCGATGGCCGCGATCATGGTGGACTTGCCCGTGCCCGGCGGGCCTTAGAGCAGGTACCCTCGTTTCCATGGCTTGCCGGTGCGCCGGTAGAAGTCCCTGTTGTTCCGGAACGCGTCGAGGTCGTCCATGATCTTCTTCTTCTTGGCCGGGTCCATGGCCAGCGTCTCGAACGTCGTCGGGTGGTCGAAGTTGACGAAGCTCCACGCGTTGTCGTCGTCGTAGCACGAGAACTGCGAGATCCTGTTGTTGCTGTACAGCCTGCGGCGGCGGTTGCCGAAGAGGACCTCGCGGCCTCTCTGGCGGACGTGCGGCAGGTACTCGTCGATGACGAGCCGGCGGTGGTGTCTGTGGAACGTGAGGCGCTGGACCTCGCGCCGGCGGCTGCTGTTCTGCTGCCCCTCCGCCTCGTCCGTCACGGACGACCACATGAACGTGGCGCCCCGGAACTCGTCGGACACGTCCTGGCCGTCGCGCATGCTGATGACGAGGCCGTCGCCCTCCTCGGCGCCCTCGGCGCGGAGCTCGCTGGCGTCCTGCGAGCACGCGACCCTGAGGTACGCCTTCACCTCCTCGAAGGTTGTGCTGTCGCGCGCGCCTGCGGGCTGGTTCCTCAAGGACCACGCGGGGGCGGCTGGCTTCTCCGAGATGTCGAGGCTCACGTAGGGGTCGACGACGGTGAGGACCCGCCGCGCGTGGCGCCGGAGGAAGACGCTAAAGTAGGTCAGGAACAGCCGCCGCGGCGCCAGGAGGAACCACGAAGAGGAGAAGTTGGCCAGCACCCACTGCCGCAACCGCGCCATCGCGCCGGGCTCCCCCGTGACAACCATGGCCGTCCTAGATCTTGCGCGTGCCGGCGCTGTTAATCGCGCACCGGACGTAGATTTATACGACGCGAATCGCCCGAGTTTGTTTCGAATTCTCACGCCCCTGCTAGGGCAGCGAGCATACGGGAAGATTAGAAAGTCTCCGGGGTTTTCCAATTAAAATTAAATAAAGAAGGGGAAAGTTTCGAATTTGTTTCGAGTTGAGAACTCATGGGCTGCACGGGTGGCGTCGCGATTGCAACCGGAGCGCGGCCGGCGCCGCCCGACGCCGAGCACTGTCCACTCCCGAATGGCACTCTAGTGCTACTATGCTAGCATGGTACCGCTAGAAGAGATGCGAATGACATCACAACTCGAAAACCATTTTTTAAGTGATTAGTAGCTTCGAAATCACAGTAGCAATTGCTAATTTCGAATTGAATTTCTTTTGTTGGTACGAAGGAATGACATGTGATTTGTCGTTGTTATACGGTACTCCCTCCGTTACTTTATAACTGCCGTTATCACTTTCCGGAAAGTCTGAAAAGTCAAATTAATTGAATATTATATAAGAAAAATATTAATATTAATAGTACATAATTAGTATTAATCTATTTTCATAATATAAGCTTATTTAAAGATATAAATATTATTAATATTTTTTACAAACTCAGTAAAACTAAAAAAAATTGACCTAAAAAATATCATAGCGGCCAATGCAATGGCGACACTTGAGTTTAGTAGAGTGATGACGATGTAAAAGTAGGTCTTAATTCCTTTTTATTTATTGTGAAGGATGTTACAGTCCCTTCAAAAATGGACATTTACAAGGAGTACGCAAGCAGACTAGCGTTGAATTCGATTTTTCGAAGTGATCAAATTCTTTTGATTGACGATGTTCTATGCCTGCAATTAGCGTAGAACCAAAATTGGGTAGAAAAGCGTAGCGAATAACCGATGAAGTTGCCACCGTGAAAATGAGGTAGTGGTGGAGGAACCTATTTCCAATCTATAGCTGTCAGAAGAAAAGTATGGAACGAGGCAGAGACCAGAGACAACCACCAATGCAAATCAGCAATAACGAAGCACAGATTTAACCAGAAGTTGACACTCGCTGTCTCATGGAAAAAGCAAATATCCCAGTTGATCAGTGGGTAACAAGCATGGCAGGATGTGAGCAAACAGTCGCTTTAAAATCAGCATGACAGCATCCTAACAGCCCACCATTCTTTTCACTGTGTGCTATGAATTCAGTCAATACGGTATTTGCCTGTGTGATGTGCCTAGTTGCTAATCCTCTGAAAGAAATAGAGGTAGCCCATTTCCTTGGGCAGGTCAACAGATGCTGCGACCTTGCTGTCGTTGAAGATTGTCCACCTCCCGTCTTTGAGGACATGAGCTACGTAGTGCCCGCAGTGGGTAGAGGTGCCCATATGGCTCACGAACGCCATCAGCTTGTATCCTGTACATGTCAGAAAGCATTGTTAAGGTAAACAAATCTCAAACCAAACAAGAAAACGACTATGATGATCTAGATAGGCCCTTTCAGTTAGGTTCTAAGGGGCAAGCTTGGAATCTGACCACTATGCTGATCCAGATAGGACCTTATTTTATCTAAGTTCATATCCTTTCCATGTTTTTTCAAAGAAAGTTACAAAACAAACAGTTTTCTTCAAAATTTAGCTAATTTAAGTTTAGCATCTACTTTTGTGATAATATGGTGCCTAATTAGCTAACAGCAAGGCAGGCATAGATTAAATGCCAACATTAAAGTGAACCTTTAAAAATTCAACATGGTTCAAGATGATAATTGTGCCACTACACGGGCTAACAAAACAAAGGGGTTAGTGAAACTTACTGCCACTTCCATCTGGAATGTATGCATCATCAGCATTGCTAGTGGAAGAATCAGCAGATGCTGAGCTCGATGCTTCGGGGTGGCTGAAAATCCAGTCGGTAGCTTTCTCAATATTACAGCCCTAATACACATCAAAACAAGAGTCACCAGAAAAGAGATAAGAACATTGCAAGGATGACTGATAACGTTGGAATCAGGAGACAAGAATGGGAACAGATAGGCAATCACTAACTTTCTGAAGGTTAAGAATCTTAAAATAGTTTACTCAGAACAACAAATCATAAATGAGAATCTTACAGAAGCTTTCAGGGCCTTTATGGCAACATCTTCCTGAAATCCAAAGGAAACGAGAGTTTGAACGCTTGCTTCATCAACAGACGGCTCAGAAGAACGTGAATCTTTTGATATTGGGTCATTTATATCTGCATCACAAAATAATTTGATGGAAAATAGTTTCTTCTCTCAAAATTTCGACTCGGAAGTTGCAAGTTGATTATTTCATGATGAAAAGCATGATTAACTACAAAACTGCAGTGGCAAACCAACCTGGATCATCCATGTGAGAGAGGAGCCAATTCATCGCCTCCTCAACTCCTGTGTTTGATGTGTTAATAGCAGCTTTCTGACAATGAAGGTAGTTGAAGCCCATGCTTGCAAGCTGGGATACAATATCCTCACTGGCAACGGGGTGAGCAGGCTCGGCACTGTTGTCACCAGAACCTAAAGTGTACATGGAAAGTCACAAAAGCTGAAGAGAAAATTTAGAGAGAGAAAAAAAATAATGAATGACAGTCTGACCTCCTTCAGGTAGCAGCTCTTCCCCAGGCTGTACACCATTGCTGCGCATATGCGTGATATCAATCGTATCTGGCACATCTATATAAACATCTGCGAAGAAATAAACTGTCAAGACCAAGTGATACTAAATTGAAAGAAAAAACTACCCAGACAGAATCGAAAATTATTATGGAGTTGTGGGTCATATAAGTAATCACAACTAGGAATAAGTAGTAATGCTTACTAACTCTCAGACACACAACAGGAAATGATAAACCCAAGCTGAAATAATAGCAAGATATTGGCAACTAATATCATTATTTGTAGATGATATTGTTGATACAAGCTGATTGTTTAATCAAATTCAGGACCAGGTCTAGTTGAACTGAGTTGGTAAGGCTAAGATGGATTACTTGCTAAGACCAGCCTGACGCTCTCTACGAAAGCAGTCTCTAGTGGATTTGATCATTTGAAACCTTTATTTCAAAATGCAGCATTTATGCTCAAATAAATGGTGAGGGGGGTATTACCGAGTTTCTTTGGCACCCATCCAGCTTCCATTACAAACTTACGCATGTGCAGCACAAGGTAATCAGGAAAGGTGTTGAAACCAGCAGTCCTGCATGAAACATTTCTTCCTTTAATTAAAACTTGATTCATTGTATAACCGTATACGTATACATGATAACAAGCAGCTATCACATAGTTCTTCAGCATCAATCCACATAAATAACACAAACATGTCAAACACCTAATCAATACAAATAAATAAAGTGTTGTCATTGGTGCATACCATCAGTGTAGAAATAAAACATGCTCTTTGATCAAGAAAACTCAATCAACAAAGGGATGAATGCCAGGACGTTTTCCACAATTATGCTACCTTCAGGGAAGTCAAGCATTAAATAAAAAATGCAAATACTAGGACTGATCAGGGAAGTCAAGCATAGGTGTGCAGATCATGAAATTAATTCATGGTACCTTCATTGGTCTAAGGTGTCATGCTTAGTTGCTAAAGTATTACACAACTACACTACATTTTGCCCTAGTTAAACTGATCAGGGAAGTCAAGCATTAATTCATGATTTTTCATGTATAAATGAGCTTTACTATAGCCACTGATGAACATTGATATATTAGGTTATCACTAATATTCAAATATTTATTAATTCATTGGAAACAAAACTAGGGCATTGGTATAAAGAATTTAGCAAACAGCAACAAAGCATTGCTCTTTGATACGAGAACCTTATGTCATGCTATCCCTTAAAAATTGCAGAGCTCAAATTGTGCATACTTAGTGGCGGTAGTCTTCGAATTTAATGCAGTGCTATAAAAATCCGGGATTTCCTCTGGCCCCGAAAAACTCGCTAAGCAAGCCTCCAATGGGACCCTAGGCCTGACAATATCCTCATTAGACCTGTTATGGAAACACAGTAATCCATAAGCCAACACTCACTAGGTACCAGATGAACTATAAATGATTGAATGCCTTACACTTCTTTTCCATCCAAGTCCATTGCAGCTTTCTTCTCATTAAAAGCTTCTAGCTGCTCTGCACATCTAACAAATGTCAAGGATCTAAAATACATTATGTTTAATTAGAAGTGAGTCAAGATTTTAAAAGCTACCTTTATTAGTTGCCTCATGCAGTGGTATACTCAAAGAAAGAATATAGTCAGACCGTTTGTTGTAAGAAACTTTCCCAGAAGGGCATTGGACCCTCTCTTCAACAACGAACTTGAAACCGGAACAAGGATTTAGCTCATGGTTCCCAGGGTTTGCCTTCTCAACTCTGTCAATAAGGTGAAGAAAGAAGTCGAGGGCATCCTGTATGAACACATTTCAAACCAAATAAGGTTAAGACACTTATTTCAAACAAAAGACTATAGTTATTGATATAGAATAGAAAAAAATGTTCTTTAATCAGCACAAAAACGGTTGCCGTAGCTTATAAATTGAAAAGAACATTACCTGTTGTCTCATGCTAGAAAATTCAGGATGGTTCGCGGCTATAACTGACTTAAACATGCGAGGACGTATCCCTTCCTGGCCCTATCAAATTGCACACACAAAATAGGAAAAACAATCAGAAACAAAAGTATGTCAAAGAAACAGATTTGCTTATTAGAACACACATGTGATGACTAGATAGGGTTTGTAATCTCAATAAACTAGAGGTGCAGCAAGAGTACATGGTGTTTCACTATCTGTTGGAGGAGATAACAGGACATATCAAAAGAAGTCTACACAAGACTGAACCACCCAGCCATCATTAGTGACATGAACACCAGGATAGCAAAGGGTAAGAACTGACAATTGGAAGCCATTACAACAAATCAATATGAAATGAATTCCATTATACCTCCTTTGCTGGTGCAGAATATTT